AAAATATATATATACAAAAGGAAAAAAAAAGATGTCACTGTTTTCCCAAGTGCTGTCCAATCTGCCATCCATAGAGGTTGTGCCAGGGATAGTCCTTCCAACAGTAGAGAGGGATTATTTCCACACCTCTGAGCCAATGTTATATTAATAACTTTTAAGTGTTTTTAATTGGTAAGTGTGTCTCATTACAGTTTTAACTCTTACTATAAGTGAGGTTAAGCATCTTTTTACATGTTAAGGAAGAAGTTCTTTTTCTCTTCATAACCTTTGCCCATCTGTCTATTGGGTTGTTGACTTTTTATTCATGGATTTGTGGGTGCTTTTTTATGTTAAGGACATTGGTGCTTTCATTATGTCACAATTTTTTAAGAATATGTACAACGGTTCCACTTTTAATTTTATAGATGCTAAGTTTTATGTAGATTGCATGAAACTTAGAAACATGTATGCACATGACCGACTTTGAAAATATCTATCCATGCTTTAACTCTTTGCACCAGGGGAGGGCCCCAAAATTTTATTGATTTACCCCAGTGGTTTACAATACTATATACATTTTGGGAGTGTAGCTTCTATATACTGTATAGATAGAAAGATAGAATCAAGTTTATCCATTTTCCTACTGATGGATTTGTTTCCAGCTGTTTGCTCTTGCTGTGATGAATAGTTGCAACTCTTAGGCATACTTTGTGGGTTTCACTCCAGGATTTTGTCTCGGTTTGGCTTCTCTAGTAAACAGATTTGGAGGTTTGCTTGCAGGTCCTTACTGGGGAGTGCACTTTGGGACATCGCGTGTAAAAAATGATGAAGGATGATGCATCGGGTAGAGAGAGAAGTTAAAACGCAATGTAGTTACTACAGAAGCCTCAGTCCTTCCAGTTGTCCCACCCTGGGGGAGGAGGCTTGGCCCAAGACCCCTGCCTGGGATGTGGGTTGGCCCGAGGGGTCGTATATTCTGGGCAAGACAGATCTTTGCAGGAAGGGCAATTGCCTAAGAACTCAGCTGTGAGCTCAGCAGCCCCCAGAGGGGAAATTAGCCGATTTTTCTAAGAGGAAGGGCCAGGAGGATGTCCTCGGGAGCCACAAGTTCATTTCATTTTACCAGATTTCGCCAAGTTGTTTTCAAATTGATTGCACCAACTTCTACTCCCTTCTGCAGTGCTGAGAATTCTTACTGCTATTTTTCCTTTGTACTTGATTTTTCTGTGCTAGTGCTATTTCCTCAATAATTTGTGCAGCTCTTTCTTGAGGTGCAAATACGATCCCTTTGGCTCTATTTTTTATTCATTAAATTTTTTTCCTGTGGGATTCCAGGCATTTCTTAAATATTTATCTTTTCTTCTTAAAGCAAATTGTCTCGTAAGTCTATTTCCTTCTTTAAATTATATATATATTTTAAAGATTAGTTTACTTTTGTATACCTGAGCTGCGGTGTGTAGACCAGTGGTGCCAGGGGCAGGAGTGAGAGGCATTCACCAGAGATAGAGTGGGGAGCAGAAATACACTGCTGAGGGGAGCAGCAGGGGAGAGGCGAGGTCTGCCACACCATGTGGTCAGCTCCCTGGCCGGTGCTCAAACTCATGCTGCAGTGGCTGCTCAGTGCTGTGATTTAAACCCATTGCACCACCAAGAGAGGGCTGTTCTTTATATTTTGAATAATACCATTCATATTGTACTAACATAATTCATTTATTTTCAATATAAAACATCTTTGTATTTTTAACGATGTAAAACATATTCAGCTGCTATTTACAATCAACATCATTTTCAAAGCTGTGGGTCTCCTGACTCACTAGTTGTCAGGTCCATTTCATGCAGGTTTATTTCTTTGTTTATAATTTTGTGAACTTTTTTGCATTCATCCTCCTGATTTTGCATCTGCTTCTTCCAGGCTCCCCAAGGATCTTATCAGCTCAGGATCTCATTTTCTTCCTTTTTTCTTAAATAAACCTTTTACTTCAGAAGTTTGAATCATTGCAAATATTTCATATTCTAATCATCTTAAGATTGCTCTCTTCTTTTTCATCTAAATATTATATGGAGCATCATTAAAAAGAGACCAGGTGACCAACTACTGTTCCCAGGGTTTTGTGCATGGGTAAAAAAAGATTTGAAGACCCTATATTAAGCCTGGCTGTGCTTCTTCCTAGCTGAGTAACTCTGGCCGGCTTCCTAATCTCTGTTATTGTGCTTCCTCACCTGCGAAAAAACAGGTGATACTGCCTTATAGGTTGTGAGGAGGCTTAAGAGGTGATGTGTGTGCCGAGGACAAAATAAGTGCTTAATAAACAAATGGTGTCACTTATTGACAGCAATGTGAGGTGCTGGGTGCTCTCTGTAGCACCAGCAGCCAGGTAACAATAGAAAACTGGTACGTGGCCTGCTCTCTGTAGCACCAGCAGCCAGGTAACAATAGAAAACTGGTACGTGGCCTGCCAGGACTGAATTCTAGCTAGGTATTTGGTATTATGAATTCTTACATGTCCAGCATTGGAAAGAGGACTGACCTTGAACAATGAGACACAATCTTCAACTACCCACTAGCCCCCCACCCACAGTTCCTAATGAGGATGTGGGAAAGGATAAGGTGGTGAGAAAGAGACTAAGCAAATCAGGATCCATCATAAACAAGGCTATCAATTTCAGAGATGCTCCTGATCCAAGCATTCCACCTTTTTTTTTTTTAAAGATTTTATTTTGGCATACATAAATGGGACAAGCCAAAGGTGCAGGGGCAGTGAGAGGATTCACCAGGGACAGAGTGGGGAGCAGAACAGCAGATCGACAAAGTACACTGCTGAGGGGAGCAGCAGGTGGGCCAGGAAAGGTCTGCCGCACCATGTGGATCACCTCCGGGGCTGGGAATCGAACTCACACTGAGGTGGCTTCGGTCAGCTTGCTGTGCTGTGTCGTAACCCTTGCACCACTAGGGAAGGTCCTCCATCTCTTCCCTCTTGTTCTCCTGGGATGGTCACTGTGTGGGCTGAGATGAATCATGTCACTGAACAGAATTCAGGTTGCTCTGCCCAGTTGGCCAATCAAGAGAAAACAGGAAGGCAAGTTGGACTGGCCCATTGCCTTAAGCTGTGGATCTTTCTGGGATTTCTCACTGTGGGCTGTAATTTGTGCTCTGTTGTTGGCTGGTTCTCAGCGTTCATGTACCCCTCCCCCCCACCCCCCGATTCCAGGCCTGGAAGTCTACAAACTACGTTTCTTAGACTCCCTTACAGTTGTTTTTCCAATGGGAAGTACAGGCAAAGACTGAAGACAGAGAGAAGGGAGGACGTGCCCTCCTCCACGCTGATGGCATTTCTTCAAGGAGCAGCTGAGCTGGGTCCAGGCTTCTGGCTTGGGCGGTGAGGCCCAGGGGTGACCGCAGTCAAGGTGATGTGTGCACCCTGCAGGCCAGATGTGTTGTGTGCGCACTTTGGTTTGACAGAGGTCAGCATGAGGCTTTGGGCTCCTGGTTTCTGCAGTATCACTGGGTACTGCAGGGACAGTGGCCCCTAGATGATACTGTGTCCAGCCCAGCCTGGCGTGAACCACTTCCCAGTTACTCATGTTGCTATGATCTCGATTTTCCCACCTTATGGTCTTTCAGTGCTTTTGTTAATAATTCCCCATAGTAAACGCTTATTTTGAAACATTTAGCGGTGGTGGTTTTCCTGACTAGACAAACATGGGACTTGCGTCACGCTGTAGTCACACCTGCTGGTTGCTGAGCGGAAGGCTTTGTGAAGATGGCACCACTGGAAATGAGAGGAAACTAAGGAGAAAACTCTGCTGTCTTGAGGGGGCGGTAAAAAACTGAAAGAATGACAGGCTGCGGTTTTGCAAGTCCCACACACCAGCCAAGGCTCAGGAAGGGCTTCCCGGCAGGGCCCCCGGCCAACCTGGCTGTGCTGTCACCACACACCCTATTTCATGTTTGTACCCCATCTTCCCTTCCCCGCCGGCAAGAATGCATCTTCTGTCTCTACCATGTCTTGCTGAGATGAGTGGAACAGGAGGGGGAAGGGAAAGGATGGGAAGTTCCCAGAAGCCAGAACCAACCCTCCTGGCCAGCACCCCAAAGTCTCGCTTGGCAACCAACTTTTATCCTCTGAGCACTGGTTATAGGTTGGGGGAGGGAGTCCCAGCAGCCCACAGTAGAAACACAAAGAACTGAGAAAGGAGCCTAAATCAATTCTTAAATATTTAATTCTCATTTATTTAAAGTTCCGTCAGTCTGTGTACACTATTTATATTAAAAACACAGGAAGCTGGGGCTCCTAGCAAAAATATACATTTCAATTTTGGAGATTGTTCAGACACTGAGAAGGGCTGTATCCTCAGCACCAGACCCGGGTGGGGGATGGGCAGGAGTGGTGGGAAAGAGGGGGAGGGTCAGGCAGTCTTGCCTTTCACAGCACTGGCCCAAAGAAAGCACCCCTAAAGCAAACCCCTGGCCAGCTCAGGATAGGCAGGGAGGGAGGAGTCTTGCCAGTAGTGTGTTTTCTGGGCATGGAAAGCCATGGCGGGCGCTGGCATTGGCAGGGCAGAGCCCAGGTTGGTCTGCTCTCCTGGGGGGTTTCTTCCCACAGCTGCAGTCAGCCAGAGGCCCCCTCCGGTGCCCAGGGAAGAGCACCAGACAGCCCTAGACACACGGGCTCTAACCGCAGGTGTTCTACCATCTTGCTTTGAGATCCTAGTACGTTTCCCCCAGTTTCCTCACTGGGAAAGCCCCGACTTCTGTTTAGACACAGCACCCCAAACTACCCTTTAGCCCGTCCTCTGGAGCGAGTGTACTTTGCCTGGGAGCAGGAGTCAAGAGGAGTGGGGCTGGACCTGGCAAGGTCATGGCCACAGAAGACGTGCAGAGTTCCAGGTGACCAGCTGGGCTGAATGCAGTGGAGGAGCGGGCAGCAGGGCTGCTGGGCCACTGCAGCATCCGTTTACCCGGCATCTCTCACGAGATGGGCTGAGCCTGTAGGATTCCCCTGCCCACCAAGGTCTCCAGTCCAGCCCTGGGAGTGCGGGCACGGCTGGCCCATCCAGGTGCAGCCCCGCTGGGGGCCCACCCACCTCAGGGAGCAGAGGGGGTGGGGGAGGGTGGGGATGAACCTGCAGGTAAAGTGATCCCAGTGCTCGGGTGCGGGCTGGAGTGGCAGCTCTGGGGAGTGTGGAGGGGCGAGCTCAGCTGAGCTCAAGCCAGTGCCGGTGTCTCCAGGCTGGAGAGGATCGCTGCACGCGAGGCCAGGCCCTGGCACTCAGGGGCGCTGCGGTGCTGACAACAGACAGACAGACTCAGTGGCTGCTCAGGGTGGAGGGAGGGGCTGGGTGCTATCGGAGGGCTGACCCCATGGCCTGGGGTCACAGTTAAGTGCACTGCTCACTACTTTCCACCAACTTCTACCTCCCTGAGGTTCACTCCTCTTCAATGGGAGCATCGGGGCCCCCACCTGGAGAAACCCCACTTCTTTTCAGGCTGGGGGTGGTGCCCCCCAGCAGCCAGCGCAGGGGGCCATCAGCAACACTGGCCTGGAAGACAGATGAGAAGAACGGAAGCATGTTGGGTGTCAGTGGACTGGGGTGTGCTGTTGGATAGGGTGGGCTGGGTCAGGGGTGCGGCCTCAGCCTCAGGAGGGCAGTGACCATCCATGCTAGCCAGGGCCACGACCAGAGGCCGCTGCTGTAGTCAGCCGAGGCCAAGCTCAGCCCTCCCAGAAAGCTGAGTCCAGCGTTTTAGTGTTTCTTTGGATGGCTCACGTCCTTTGCTGTGAAGACAGGAGCAGAGTGAGGCCCCACTTCCTCCTGCTCCAGAGACAGCGGGGGCAAAAGCAGAGTTCCTGTTCTATGCTGCTGGTGAAATAACACAAAACTGTCTTACAGAAAGAAACAGGGACAGACATGGGATTGGGGAAAAGGGAGGCTGAAGGACAGAGGAGAAAGGATGCCTATAAAGGGGAAGGGAAAAAACAAATTAGAAAGAGGAAGTGAGGAACTGAGAAAGCGGGAGATGACAGAGGGCGAGGAGGAAGGCCACGCCGGGAGCAGCGCTGTGTTCTGCACACGAGTGTGTGAGCTCGCTGCTCCCGGTGCTCGGGGCTGGTCAACGGAAAAGGGCAGGCGCCACCTGTCCTAGCGCTGTCCACCTGGCCCCTGGTTCTTGACGCCCCTGAAGACTGGCTGGGAGGTGCACCCCTCAGTACATGTCCTTATAGATCTCCTGGAGCAGGGGGTGCAGCGAGGTCTCAGTCTCAGTCTTCTTGATCCGCTGCATCATCTGGGCATGCTCAGTGACCAGCTGCCGCAGGTCAGCCATCTTCTGCAGCAGCTTGGGGAAGAGGTACTGGGCGTCAGGGTGGTTAGCCTGCAGGTGGAACTCAAGGGCTCGCAGGATGGTGTCCTGGATGGCCTCCACTTGTGGCACGTTCATGAGGCCTGGCCGGTCTGTGGGAACACAGAGCAGAGTTGTAGGAGGGAGGGGGCAGAGGAGCTCCCCTCCCCCACCACATGTGGGTGACACAGTCCAGGGCACAGCAGGCCCGGCTGTGACAGACCCAAGCTCTGCCCTGCCAATCACTACCTTGCATTCTAGCTCCTTCCCTGGGGCTGGCCCACCTCCTTTGTTGTTTTCTCCCTGGCTTGGCAGACAGTATCATGGTGAGAGACTCACCGCCTGGGTCCAATTCCCACCTCTACTATAGAGTAGTGATGTAGCTATAGGCAGGTCCAAGGCCACTCTGGGCTCAGTTTCCTCATTTGTAAATTGGGGACAGCAGAAGTAACTCCTGCTCAGGGATGTTGTGAGGAGCAAATGAGTTGTAAACTAGAAAAGGGAACTAGAACAGCATCGAGCTATGAGGTATGCTCAATGTCATTATTAGCAATGATTATACATGTATTGTGTTATAATTGGAAAAATGGAGATGAAATACAGAAGATGCGTCCACCACCAGCAGAACCCTGTAACATGCGGGAGGTTTCCTGATCTCTCATCTAAGATGAAGCTAGCTAGTCTTACGTGAGCAGTCAGTGCCTGGCACACGTGCCATGGCCACCACTGCCCAGATACTCCCCATACCGCTGGCGCTCAGCCTTGTCACAGCCACCCCCATCCTCGGCAGGGCTAGCTGCTCCCCCCTCACTCACCTCCACAGAGAATGATGGCCGCGATGAAGAGAGCCAGGTCACTGTCATCAAGTTCCAGGGCATTGAACTTGACAGCAAATTCGAACTTGGGCTCGATGATATCGCTGAAGGGCTTGCGGAGGCTACGTAGGAACTCACGGGTGACAAAGCCAGTGCCATTGGCTACCAGGAGCCCGTCTTTGTTGACAATGGAGGCTAGCATGGCGAAGATGGCTTCATGCACGCCGTACTTGAGAAGGGTCACCTGGTCGTTGAGGAAGAGGTTGCTGAAGCTGGGGATGCTCTTGGCGAACTCGGTGAGCTCACGCACGGTCTCTACTGTGGTGCACTGGCAGCGGTAGAAGACATGCACGCTGATCTCCTTGTAGGGCGGCAGGCCGTTCACCAACTGCTTCCATACCAGGCCCTTCTCTGCCTGCCACAATGTCTCGATGTCGTGGATCACAAAGGGCTGAAAACCAGGTCCTATTAGAGGCCTGGCCTCGGGGGACCCCTGCCCGTGTGCTCCCCATCCCCCCTTCCTGTACCATGATGTTAGGGAAGGGAGGAGGCCCGGTTTTCCCAGGAGTCAGGCAGGTGGCAGTGGGGCCCCAGCCCAGGACACTGCCAGGCCGAGCAGTGACACTCACCGCTGTGTGGCTGGCCTTGCCAGTGAGGATGCCGCGGGCCTTCTTTTTGGTCATGTTGAAGTTTTTCAGGTAGGCATTATAGATGTGCTTGGAGAAGGCCTTCAGGTCAGCTACCTGTGGGTTGTGCCGACTCCCTTCACTTGCTGTCAGCCCTGCCACCAGCTTTCTCTTCTCAGCCTCCGGCATTCGGCCAAAGCGGATGGCTGCATGGGGAGCGGGGGAAAGTCATTGAGAAGCCTGCGCATGGGCCAGCACCCTAACCAACCGCCTCATCCCTTTACAGATACATAGGCCAAAGGTGAAGACACATTTCTGAGCCCAGGGCACTCAGAAGCTCCAGAGCCAGCAAGCTGGAATGTTGGGGAACCTTCCCAGAGTGTAAGCTCCAGGCGGCAGGGATTCTTAGTTATTTAGAGCCCCCACACACAAGGGGTCTGAACCACAGCGTGACCAAGTCCCTGTAGCAGAGCTTGGAGGAAGACACTTGCACTTGAGTTCCAGCTTGGCAGATTCCTAGTCATGTGGCCTTGGGCAGGCTGTTTCACTTCTTTATTCAGGAGAAAAATAGGGCTCATACTTTAAACTCACTAGGGTGTCAGAACAATCAAATAAATGTATCCATGAAAGTAAGCACTCAAAAACTGTAGTTATGGCTTCTCTCAAGAAGTGGGAAGAATTCAGTCAGCCTTGAGATCGCCTAGGAAATCTCCCCACCCAAGAAATGGGGCCTGGTAGACAGACTGAGGGGATTGCTCAAACCCAGACCTGTCAGACCCTGTCACCAAGGAAAAGCTGCACACAGAGGACTCAGGTTCTGCCACCTCTAAGATGCAGGACAGGTAGGGCACCATGAGTGGAGACATTTAAACAACAGGTTTGCTACTGTACTCTGGGGTCTGATCCTAAGGGATAGAGAGGAGGAAGGGAACTTTGCAAAGTCTTACTCTAGGGATCCAAAGGTAACTGCAGGAGGCCTGGAGCAGAGGTCAGGGAGGCACTGACTCTCCAGAGTGGCTGGCCTCCAGGAAACTCCCGCTGGCTCCTGGCAGCTGACACATGCGGTCATCTACTGGCTCCTGCCTGACCTCAATAACCAAGAGAGCTGAAGGGATCCCAGGTCTTGGGAGTAGCTTTTCATGTTGTGTCAGGTCATCTGAGCTGGGCCTGAGGTTCTGGGAGTGGTGTTATTGGAGTTGGTGTCAATGGCCAGCAGTTCCCTCTCAGCCACAGTGAGCCAGCCTCGGGTACAAAGAGGCAGTGACTGCTCTGGGCCTAGAACCCACGGTGGATGCTGGGACGTCTGGGAGAGACAGCTTTGGGACAGCTTGTGCTGGCCTGAGACTCAGGGTCTGTGTCAGCAAAGTCAACAGCTGACACCCCGACAGCGCTTGCAGTCTGGCTGTCTGAGGGCACCATGAAACCTGGACTCAGGCTACGTGGAGCTGGCAGTCCCTGCGCCTCGCCAGGGTTGGCGCTCACCATTATGTGACATGCCCAGTGCCAAGCATTTCTGGAAGCGGCAGTACTGGCACTTGTTTCGGTTCTTCTTCTGGATCTTGCAGTTCCGCTCACACTTCTCATATTCCAGCTTCATGCGGATTGTGCGACGGAAGAAGCCCTGAGGGACAGTGAAGAGGGGAGGTAAGACCACAAGGGGGAGTGGTTGAGAAGCTGGTGTGACCCAGTGGGTTGTGCCAGCAGTCCAACTGTGCATGAAGATGAAAAAGTTCCAGAAATTTGGAAGTAAGAGGAAATCTGCGGGGTGGGAGGGAGAGAGAAAACAACCCCAAAACTTTTGAAATAATGAATGTAATATGCCATATTTATTTTATTGTTAAAAAGATTTTATTTATGCACACAGGAAATGGGGTACAGGCCAGAAGGCACAAGGGGGTGAGTGGTTTCACCAGAGACAAAGCAGGGGAGCAGAACAGGCAGATGTACTGAAATACACTGCTGAGGGGAGCAGAGGGTGAGAGGAGAGGTCTGCTGCGCCATGTGGGTACACGACAGGTAGTCAGCAGGGCAGGCCTGAAAAGAGAACCCCTTCTAGCCAGCAGGGCCCAGCCCTGAGGTCTAGGATGGGCACAAGGGCCTGGCTGCCTGTCAGAAGGAATTCAGTGGTAGGCACTGTCAGGGCCCTGCCCGGTAGTAGGAGGATTTCTCTGGCAGGTCACCTCACCATGTGACCATAGTCCCTATGACCAGCCACCATCTCCCCCCGCACGTACCTTGCACCCCTCACAGGCATGAACACCATAGTGGAATCCTGAGGCCTTGTCCCCACACACGCGGCACTCCATGTTGAGGCTGCCACACGAGGCCCCATCGCAGCCCATCTGCAGCTGGTCCAGCAGTGAGGGCGGCGAGGAGCTCCGGGAGAGGTCTGTGGACACACAACATGGGAGGGGCATCACATTCTGCAAGGCCTGGCGGTCAGGGGAGGTGACGGGAGTCCATGAATCTGAATCACAGAGCCCTGGTCAGTCACTATGTGGCCTCACATAGTTTCTTTACCCAGAACATTGGGTCAATGACAGTTTTCTGGGAGGATGGTAAAAAGCTTCCAAAGCCTTCTCCCTGGACCTAGCAGCAGGCAGGTGTTCCAGAAACCGCAATATTACAATGTGGGTTAAGTCAGAGCCTTCCTAGGCTGAACTCACCAATTGGAAGGCTAAGTGTGGTGGGTCAGGGAGATTGTATTTTGGGAGGAGGAGAGCAAGAGGCAAGCAGCTATGAAGCTCTTCAGACTGTCCTTCGGAGGGGCTGTGTGAGGTGTGCTTTGTGGTGACTGCTAGCGTACAGATCTCTGCACCACACTTCCCCCACCCCCTGGAAAACATCTTGAGTAGACAAAGCATGAGAATCAGTCATGATTGCGGCATAGTGACTTTCCCCAAGTTTTTTCTATTAAGTGTACAGACGGCTGAATGAGGTGCTGAGCGTCAGCTAGGGAAGCAGCTGGCTATCGGGATACATGCTGTCTGATTGCAGCAAGAACTGCTGGGAGTCTCTGCTCAGTCTCTGCCTTGGAAGCTCAGACATCAGCTCTTTCCCTTGGAAAGGGGGGCTGCCCTTGGAAAAGGGGGCTGCCCTTGGAAAGGGGGAGTCAGTCTCCTGACTCCCAGCCCAGCGCAGGCTGTAATGGCTGTCAACCTTCCCTGATGACCAAGCTACCTCCCCAGGGCAGGGGCCAAATCTCCTATTGAGAGCACTGCACTAAGGGAGACCCCAGCCATGGGAATGAACCCAGACTGACATTTTCCAAGCCTGCTTCGACTCTCTCACCAACATGGGTCACCTTGCAAAAGATCTCCATTTTTCTATCACGTAGAAATGCGCCTTATCCCTCCACGCCCACTAAAATACTCCACTCCTCTCCGAAGCCTTTAAGTCCTAGGAGTGACAGACCCCCTTCTGGCCACAAGAACAGGGGCACAAGTACCTGCCCAATGGCAGACCCGGCAGAGTGCTTCCCCTTGGGCTGGTGAAAGGTGGGGCTGCTAAAATGACCTGTCCGGGCCAGTGCTCTAACTCCCTCCCATCACTCATTCCCTTGTGCAGCCACAAGCGGCCCAACTACCCCTCAGCCCAGAGTGGGGAGCGTGGGCTCCCTCTACCTCCCGGGCACAGTGTTGTGGGGGAGCCTGCAGGCTGGGAGGGCGAAACTGCAGTTGCTCATGTCAGTGCTACTGGAGCAGGAGTGCCACAGGGCAGGGCCTGCTGGCCACGAGACAGGTTCTCAGTGGCTCTGGATTGTGTCGTTCCCCAGCTGCCTTGAGGTCCTAGGCTCTGCACCCACTGGCCGGAGGCACTGAAACAGGAGCAACTGAACGCACGTTACTGGTCTGGGAGAAAATGAGATGATTGTTAAAACACTGAGACCTGCACTGCAGCTGGGCCAAGGGCTTCCGGCACTTCCTCCCCTCTCTGTGTGGTCTGTGTGTAGGTCTTGTGGCACTTCTTAATAAGCAGCGGTGTTTCTGTGGTTTGCATGCCTGCCCCTCTGCTTGACTTTGGATCCCACAGCCACTGCCACCACCAAGTCTAGTACATGGGACTAATGACCTCAGATTGTTCTCTCTTACTGGGCCTTCCTACAAAGATCATTTGGTTGCTCTAGGCAATGCTTTCTTTTCATGCAATAGATATCTGAGGAGCACCTAGGTGTTGCAGGGCAGGACCCAGGCTGCTGTCAATTACTTGAAGTCTGAGAACTTGGACACAAAGCAGAGAGTGGCAATGCTGGCTGAGGTGCAGGAGTGTGAAGGAACCATCACCCAGGAAAGGCGTAGTGTGGGAAGGTCACCATTCCCTTCTGGGCTCTGCACCCCCTCCAAGCTGGCTTCCAGGTGTTCAGAAACAGCACACAAGGCGAGAAAGAACTCAATTCAGGAGTGATGCAGCCTGAGTCCAAACAGGTGTCCTGGGCTCAAAACCAGCCTGCCCCCTGTACTATGGAGATTGAGGCCTCAGAACTCTGGATTGTAAGGAGACACTGCGAGTAGCTCATAAGGGCCCCTGTCAGGCAGAGCTGTACCCTGACAGGCCCAGGCAGTGTGGGGTCCTGTGAGATGAGTGTTTGCAGTTTGGGGGTACATTTTTCAAAGACAGCTTCTATTTCTTCCTGACAGAACAGCTGGCTTAAAGGTTTATCTGAAATTATCACATCCTGCCCCACAGGAAGGTCAGCAAAATGGACCCTCTTCTAGGACACAGGCTCTGAAGGCCCTACCACCTCCCTCATGGCCTCCCTGGTAGAGACTGGGTTTCCAAGAGGTCCCACCCTGCAGCAGGAGTGCCTGCCTTGGTGCCACCCACACGTGCTGGCTAGAGGAGACACGGGGCCCTGGCTGGAGGGCTGTCCTCCGCAGCCCCAGCCAGTCCTCTCACCCAGCGCCTCGCCTTCTCAGAAAGCGTCCTTGCTCATGTGAGGGCCACCAACCAGGCCCGGAGCCCTGCCTCTGAATTTCCCTCTAGTCATACCCTGCCTGACGTCCCAAACATGTCCTGAGGGTCCACCTCTGACCACTGGTGGAGAAAGGAGAAAGAGACAGCGTTTACCAGGTCTCTGAGCGCCCAGCATGTTAGTGTCTTCAGGCTTGTTGACATCATTTCCTATCACTCTGGATGAGAGTAACATCCACTGGAGATGCAGAAACAGCCCAGAGGGGTTAAGGAATCTGCCCTTAATACACGATGGGCTGGGCCTTGACCGTGACTCGACTTACCCACAAAGGCTGTGTTTGTACCCAAATCTTTTTTAGTGCATACCTACTGTGTGCTAGGCTCTCTACCTCACACATTTACCTCACGTGACCCTTAAAGCAACCCCTCCAGTAGTCTTCTTACCCCCATTTTGTAAGCGAGGAACTAAAGCTCAGGTTAACAAGCTGATGTGGCTCGAAGGTTAGTTGCCTGTGTCAGCTTGGCCAGACCACGGTACCCACAGTACCCAGCTTTTAGTTCAATAGTCTAGCTGTTGTTGTAAAGGCATGTTTTAGATGTGATTAACATTTAAACCATTATTCTACATAATGTGAGGTAGTCAAAGATAAAAAGACCAAGCTCTCAGTAAGGAAGAAGGAATTCTGCCTCCCGACTGTCCTTGGACTGGAGCTGCAGCAGTAACTTCCCTGCTGGCCTATCCTGCCGAATTTCAACTCTCAGGCCCTCACAATTGCATGAGCCAACAATCTCAATTAACCCCTCTCTTCACACCCACACTCACTCATTACTGCTGATTAAGGATTCATTATTATGAAAAACAAGACAATCACTGCTGAGCTTGACACCATGCTGGTATGGTATCTGGTTTATGTTGAATGTCTGGATTCAACATAAACACTGGCCCTACCACAGCATGACGTAACAGTTGTACCACCTTTCACTACAAGTTGACAGACGCCACTGCCCCTGTTCACACGCACGTTCCTGCACTTCTATCACGGAGACACTGGCTGTCAGGCCTTTGCATGTGGCAGCCCTTAGTACTTTGCGAACAACTTCTCAGGTCTGCAGGAGTGTAGGGCTGAGTTAGCCAGCATTCTCCTCACTTCTATTGTTCCATTTGCCTGACTGTGGGCTCTCCAGAGCAGGCACTTGGTCTGTCCACTAGTGAATGGAAAGTCCCTTGCCTGGACACTCACCACGCAGTTGCCGAGTGCTGAGTAAGAGGAAGTATCCAGGCCGGAAGGAAGGACACTTAATCTTCACCAACCCCACATGATGACCCCTGACCTCCTTCTTGGGCACGAATGGGGTGTTTGTCATTGGAGCAGGAGTAGAAGAGGACAGAGTGGGGTACTAGCACCGGTTCTATTCCTCTATCCCGCGGAGAGACCTTGGAGCAAGCTGCCTCCTTGCAGAGTGCTAATGGTGAGGCCTGTCCTGTCAGCCTCCTGGGGGTGAGGAGGAGGTGCCTGGCATGCAGAGAGAGGAGAGGGATGGTCTCCCTTCACCCTACCCCAGCATGTGCTCTGAGAGGAAGAACCTCTGCAAAGTACCAGAATTTGCTTTGCAGGCTCAAAGCAGCATGGCTCACAGCCTTAGGCCCATCTTAGCTGCAGATCCAAGAGGAGTCTGTCTGACCTCAACAGCTCCCATACTGCTTTAAGTCAGATACCACTGACGCCACCCAGAGCCCATGGGGTGAGTGGGCCTGCTCCCACACCCATGGCCACTGGGGGAAAGCAGCAGATCCCCTGCCAGCACAAAGCCTCTCATGAATTTCCTGTGGGGGAGGGGGACGGGATCAGCTGGCAGTTTGAGACAAGAGGAGAGAAGTAGCAGGTGGGGCAGTAAGCAGGAAAAGTCAGGGGCTGAGGAGAAGATTCTGGGTGCCCTCGAAGGTAGACATGAAGTTGGGCTGATGATGGAGATGACGACCGAACTGCACAGGGACCAGAGGAAAATGTCTCCAGTGCTGCTGGTAGTAGACAAATAAAGGAGAACCAAAAAATGAAGTACGCCAAAAGCTGTCTGGAAGCACAAAAGTCGTGTTAATTACAGTTGTTTATACTAACGGCTTAGCACTGATGCCTAATTATGACACGACGTGGTGATGATGTACGTAATCAGCACCAGACGGGTGGGCTGTGATCACAGCAATCACAGGTACATCCCTTGTGGGTCCTGGTACAAGTGATGACCACACACACAAATGTTCACTTGTTAAATTCTCACAGATGCTCAAGCCACACGAGGTCCTATGTGTTTTACAGAAAAGACACAGCTCGCCCCAGGTTTGCAGCTGAAGAGCGACGGAGCAGGGTGTGGACCTGCGCTGACTGCGCTGCAGTCCTTAACTACTTGGCTCTCTGCAGCCCGTGACGCTGTGTGCAGAGGGCCGCGCCTCCTCCTCACCTGTGTAGCTGCTGGAAGGTAGTGCGCACTCTGGTCCCCCATTGAGCTCTGGGGCTCCTTCTGCCTCTGCCACTTCCTCTTTCTCCTCCTCTTCCCGGACCTCAGGGGCTTCCTCCGGTGGCTGCTCCATGGCTGATTTCCCCTCGGCACCACGCCTGCAGGCCCGGTCATAGCTCTGGCATCATCTGGGTCTGAACGCAGATGGACCTCTACAGGGCAGTTCCTGTCAGCCTGGGCAAAGGGGGAGACAGAAAGTTGGGGTGGCAGTGAAGAGAATGTGGGGGTGATGGGAGCGGGGCATGCTCAAGGACTGCCAACTGTGGGGACAGCATGGAGAAGGTTCCCTTGCTCCAGCACTTTCAGAGCAGGAATGACTCATCCTTGCGGTGACACCATGGTCTCAGCTCCTTGCACCACAAGCCACTTCCCCTCCCGCCTTTTGACTACTTGGTCCTGGTGGCGGGCTTCTGGGATTGAGGGCAGTCTGTTAACCAGAGAGGGTAGCGCAGCACTGTGCCAGCCTCCCCAGCCTCCTCAGCTGCAGCCTGCTTTCCCAGCCTCCTGAATCTACCAGAGCCACACTAGGATGACTTGGGGGCCTTTTGCAAATTCTCTATTCCCTGAGGAGATTCTGGTATGCATCACACCTCCCAGAGCACTCCTAGGTTCAAGAAGAAATGCTCTACTAAGCCACCATCCTGAAGGGGTAGGCCCCAGTTGACAGCATATCTGCAATTAGACCCTCAGTGGCAGAGTCATCAGGGGACAGGAGTGATACTGTCCTGGAGTGCTTCCAGGGAGGTCACAGGGTGGTGACCTCCATATCCACATCACCGGGAAGGGTAGTTCCAAACCCACCAATGCCACAGTGGGAGGCGGTAAAGTATGAGGTGCTGTGGAGAGTCATCCTGGCAGGAAAGAGAAGGGAGATGCCCTGAGAGTGGGGAGGATTTTGACCAGGGGAGTCGGCATGGAACTCATCTTGGGGAGACAGCATAAACAAACACTCAGAGGCAACACAGTAGGGACTGGTGAAGAGTTGTACTGGGGAGAGCGTGGAGAGCTATCAGAGAGGACTGGAGCACTGTCCAGGGAGAGGTGTGCTGTATGCAAAGTACTTTGTAGCTCTGGAAGTGAGCTGGCCGCTGTATCTGGCAGAAGAATCAGAAGCAGAAAAGACCTCCTTGAGGAAGATTCAAGCACTTGCTGAGCTTCTCCTGGATGGCTCTCTGGTGGCACAAACTGAACCTACTCAAACACACCAACTTCCAGCAAACCGCCCTTCCTCTGATAATTTCTGCTTTAGTGACTCACTGACCCACCTATTACCTGATCAAAGTCCGGAGGTGGGAGTTCTTTGAGGCTCCTTTCCTAATTCTGCCCCAGGCAGTACAGTGGAATCACTGGGGAGTTTAAAAAAATGCGGATGTCTGGGTCCTGCCCCATAGAGTCTTATCTGATTGGTCTATGGGGCAGCTTGGGCAACGGGAGCTTTATTTTAGATTGCCCTGGTGATTGTAATGTATAGTCAAGCTTGAGAAGCATTCTTGGCAACAAGCTTCCAGCTGACAGAAAGCTGTTCCTCTAATCATTCCTTTCCATGAGGCCTTCATTTTCCCTTGTCTGAACTGACATCATAACCTCTCAGATGGTCTCCTAAAGGCAGTTTAAAAATGTAGCTCTAGAATTGGGAGCTGGGAATCTATAGATTTGGGGAGCATCCTTTTTGACACAGGAAGGGATTCTGTTCCTAAAAGGTAAGAGCAACATGTTATGGGAGGACAGAGAAGAGGCATCAGAGCAGACAACAGGGCGAAGAACAGAGGCAGGAGAGACTTGCTGTCTCAGAGAGAAGGGTACGGCTGTTTCTGGAGGGAGAGGTGAGCTGTCTTCAAATGCTGCAGAGTTTAAGGGTAATAAACCAACACATGCGCTGGATTTGGTCACTGTGAGGTCATTAATGATCTGTGAGATGAGTTTTGGAGAAGTGGTTGGGAAGAAAATCTGGACTCTGAAGAATAAGTAGTAGTGAGGAAATGGAGACTAGTTTTTTTGGTAATTATGTCAAGGAAATAAATGTATGACATATTGCTGGCTTGAGAAAGTAGCAACGCCATTAAGAGATTTCTTGGAATAGAGAAAACTTGAATGAGGTGTGGGTAGAGGGGAGGTATGTGTGGAATTCTAAAGAATCAAGGAGAAGCCAGAGCAGGATGATTGATGGGAAGGGAGAAGTTGAAGGGCACAGAATAATATAAAGACAAAGACATTTCACATCAGTGTGTGGTAATGTGTGTGTGGGTGATAGCTAGAGCTCACATAAAATGGCCTCACTTTCTATAGTTAAAAAAACAGGAGGGGTGGTTGTCTAAAGACAGGCCTTGAAGAAAGACAGATGTTCTGGATAGAGGCACTTTGGTGAACATGAGAGGGAATCAGCTGGAAAGGAGTAAAAGGAATCAAAGCAAAGTTATAATAATTAAAGCAGTATGGTATTGGCACATGCACAGACAGTGAGAGGGAATACAGAGTTCAGAAATAAATGTAAACACATATGGAACCATATTATGTTATAAAGACAGCACTTCAAAGGCAAAAGATGGATTCTTCAATAAATGGAATGGGACAACTGAGCAGCTATCTGAAAAAAGATGGACCCCATTTCACACCTTATACCAAGATGATAAACTCGGGAAAATATCTACACTCTCATCGACAACAGACTAATTTCCCTAAAATATTTCCTACAAATTAATAGAAGACCAGCAATTGAACAGAAAAACAGTCAAAAGGTATTGAAAATGTATACAGAAAACATAAATATGGAAAATTTGCCTTTTAAACATGAGAAGGTATTCAATATTGTACAGAGAGATATGAATTAAAAAAATACTGAAAAATAACTTTATAATCAGATTAAAACTAATGCTAACATGCTGTTACTAAACAAAGGGAAACATCATCTCACAAACCCCTGGTGGAAAGGTAAATTGGTACAATCTCTATAGAGGGTAATTTAGCTACATATATCTAAATTATGGGTGCACGTTCCCTCTGACTCAGAAATATCACTTCTAGTTTGGTTGTATCCAACAGTTCTACCTCTACTTATTTGATGATAAAATAGTGCAAGGTTATTCATTACAGTACTACTAACTACTAAGAGATGGAAAACAAGTCAAATGTCCACTGACACCTCTGTCAATTTATTTATTAAACAAATTATGATATTGTCACAGTGGAGACCTTCTGGAAGTTGAGATTGAGCAGAGAAAAAAAAAAAAAAAAAGAGCCTGCTACCTTGCCTGGAGGGCTTCAGAGCCTGCCAGGAGAGGAAGGAAACAATTCCGCTGACAGGCCTGTGGACTACAGAGTCTTGGAATCTTGAGAAGAGTTCATGTACCAAAAGGTACAAATGTTACAGGCGAAACTAGCAAGATCATGTAGTGATGTGGCTCCCGAGGCCTGATATGCCAAATGCTGGAAGTTCGATCTAAGATGGAAAGTTCCAACAAAGCCATAAGAAATTCTACTTGATTATTCTGTCCTATGAGCTTATAAAAAACAGACCAAATAGAATGGAATTAGACATCAATGACAAATATATTTTGCTGTGCTACTCAATAGAATTGGGATGAAGGTAGAGAGAAAAATGATTCTTACTTATTGTTTAAAAAAAACAATTTATGCATTCAAGAATTGGGGTATAGGGCGGTGAGAGGATTCACCAGAGACAGAGTGGGGAGCAGTGAGTGAGACAGGAGGGGTGCTTTGCTATGTGAGTCATCTCCCTGGCTGGGGATTGAACTCTGGCCACAGTGGCTGGCAACAGCTTGATAGCACTGAGACTTTAATTCCTGCACCATGAGAGAGGGCTTCCCCCCCACCAAAAAAAATGATTTTAATAGTAGCTTATCTTAGACATCTTTGAGATTTTTTCCTCTTTTTATCTTGCACTGTTTTCTAGACACAGAGGACTCTGTCATACTGCCTATGCATAGTCAATATCCTGAGACTAGTTATTTCTTCTGAATACACTGCAACCATGGGGTAAATCGTCCATTGAGGCTAAACCCCAGCATCCAGACATCTGATTCTCACCACCATGAAAATGGTGACAAAAGTTGAAAGTGGGCTAAATGTTAAGAGGAACTATGAGGTGCAAATTCTGAGTCAGTGGTCAGGAGCAAATTCACAGTTAATCAACTCCGCGAAGCTTTCGAAACTCCACCCCCTCAGCAGTGGCAGAAGGGAAATAGGAGCAAAACTGAGGCTTTTTTTTTGGCAATTAAGTTGCTGGGGCTTCTGATGTAACCTTCTGGTGAGGCATGTCTGTGGGGAAGCTGCCAGTTTGCCACGTAAGCTTAGACCCTGATCTTGGTCTCTGCTCGGGATGCTATCCGGGGTAGGACAAACAGCTCCTGGTCACAGCCAGCCTGTAAATGCTCTTTCTCTATCTTAGCTCTCCCTTCTCTCACTCCTTGTGTGAAAACATTCTGTTATTGTTCCTTCCCATGTGTCTGTTTTTGGGTCATGTCCTTGTACCTTACAAAAAAACACAGTGATTATGCTTTAGGGTTTCACTTCTACTTCATCTCCATGCCCCCTCATTTACTCTTTCTAAACCCTGTCTTTTCTGTTCTCTCTATGAGAGAAGTTTAGAACTCAGCTCTGAATTTTAAATTCTAAAGCTTATGTTCCCTTATTAGGAAGAAAACTTATTTATTTATTTATGCATACAGAACTGGGGTACAAGCCACAGGTGCAGGGGCGGTGAGAGGATTCACCAGACACAGAGTGGGGAGCAGAACAGGCTGACCAACAAAGTACACTGCTGAGGGGAGCAGCGGGTGGGTCAGGGGAAGTCTGTCATGCCATGTGGGTCACCTCCCTGGCGGGGATCGAACTCATGCTGAGTTCTTCTTCTTACTGCTGTGCTTTAACCCCCTACGCCACCAGGGAGGGCCCATGTCCTATATTCTGCAGAAGAATGCAGAACTCACTGAAGATGTACTCAAAGTTGTATCTGCTTGTAAGATAACTCTGGAAGGCTACACAAAAACTGGGTGCAGTGTTGCCTCTGGGGTGGGGGTGTGACTGTTAGTCACTGATGGGAGATTTTTCACTGTACTTTTTTCTTTTTTTACAATAATTCTTCAATAAAATATACTTGCTATAATAATGCAATTATTTCTATATATTTATTAAATACTTTTCATTTAAACAGATAT